CCGCAAAAAAAAAAAAAAATGTATATCAAATCAACACATTGTACACCTTAAACTTGCACGATGCTGTATGTCAACTGTATCTAAATAAAATTGGAAAAAACTTTTTAAAAAAGAAGTATATATTCGGTCTTTGTCCTGTTTCTGGCACACAGTTCCTAAATCGAATTTCCTAAGTGGTGACAGTGATAAAGCTGCCTTTTTTTTTATGTTAATGAGGTTATATCTCCAGGTAGATAGCGTCAGAATTGAGTTGAATTTTTGGACACCAAGCTAGTGTCAGAGCATTGCTTGGTGTGGAGAAAATTCCCCACGTATCGTAATCGGTGTCAGGATTATGTAAGGAAAAGGGTCAGTTTTCAAGGGCTCCCTGAAGAGTCACACAGGACCCCGTTCTCGGAAGGGCGTCCCACTTGCTGTGCTGTTTGAATGCTGTGCTGTTGCCATCTTAAAATGAGTAATAATTGTTGAACAGGAGACCCAGCACTTTCAGCTTTCACTGGGTACTGTAAATTATGTAGCGGGAGAGAGGCAAGAAAGAAATGAAAGAGTGATAGGCTTTGAGGAGGGGGAGGCAGAGACAGACATAAAGCAGAGAGGAAAAAAAACTGACAGATTTCAGACACCCAGAGAGAAATAGAGGCAGACAGCCTTGGAGGGACAGAAGACACAAGAGACGAGAACTTGGGAGAGAGAGAGAGAAAGAATCCCGGAGGCAGGACTCCTTGGAATCAGAGAAGCACAAACACAGACAGGAGAAAAAGGAACCCAGAGGCAACTCTGAGAGAGGCGAGGACCGACAGAAGGACAGAGTGAGATGGAGACAGAGCCTCCAACAAGTGGGAGGGTGGTCCACACCTGACTGGGGAGTGGGAGGTGGGCCTCACCTGTGTGCCCGTCTGGCCTGCATGGGCCACGGCAGTTCCCGGGAAGGGCCAGGCTCCTGCAGCTCCTTTTGTGTGGCTTCTGCAAGGGACTGGATGCTCCTCTGTCCGTCCTCCTCCTCGTCCAGGGCCCCCCAGGGCAGCATCCCAGGGCCTCGGTACCGAAGGGTAGCAGCACTGGGGAGCTCATTAAGCACAGAGGACAGCGATGGACCTGGGGCAGGAGGACAGGCGGCTGGGAGAGTCCAGGCGTCCAGGCCCCCGGCCCCTCCTCCCTCAGACCCAGGATCCAGACCCCCGGCCCCTCCCCCCTCAGACACAGGGGTCCGGGCCCCCAGCCCCTCCTCCCTCAGACCCAGGGGTCCAGGCCCCCGGCCCCTCCCCGCTCAGACCCAAGGGTCCGGGCCCCCGGCCCCTCCCCCGTCAGATCCGGGAGTTTGGAATCCCCGGTCCCAGACACCAGCCCCATAACCCTGCCAAGAACCCAAGCGTGGCCCCTCCAACCCCAGGGCTGAGGAGTCCGCCCCTCAACTTCCTTTTCCTTCTAGCTCAGGTGGTGATCCCGGCCCCTCCCATTCCTCAGATGTGCTCAGACGCTCCGGCCCCCAGCCCCTCCTCCGCCAGGACGCCGGGTCTCCAGACTCCTCCCCAGGACGCAGAAGTCCCAGCCTCTGGGTCCCCTCTGCCCCAGAGACCCGGGAGCCGAAGCCCCTCCCACTTCGGCCCTGGGGTCCCAGGAGGCAGACCTCCGTTCTCCACCTCCCTCAGGACTTCCGCCAACCAGGGGAGTGGGACCTGACCTTCCTCGGGCGCCCCCACCTGTTCTGGCCTCCCGGGGTGCCGGCCATCCCCCAGAGGAGGCCCAGGCCTCCGGTTCCCACATCGGGCTCTCTTCAATGGCCCCAGCCGCGGCTCTGCTTCCGTCTCTAGGGCCGGCGGAGCAGGGACTACCCCAGGTGAGGGAGGAGCCTGAGACAGGGGCATACCTGGCCGCCAGGTGGCCCGGAAGAAATACCCGGCACTTCCCATAAACTATCGGGGCCTCTGCTCCGAAAGGTCTCCTGGGAGCTGAAGTCCACAGATGCCCGCGTGGCTCCCGGGGGGATGGGTGGTAGCACATCACAGAGGAATGCGGTGGTACAAGTCCCCCCACATTGATCACCCACAGACATTCCCACGTAGAGTCTTTGTGTGACACTTTATTAGGAGAGATTTACACATTCTGAGCCTCTTAGGTCAAAGGATGACAAGAGGGTGACAGGAGCGCTGGGGCCCTTAGGTGGCTCAGATGGAACCTACGAGAACCATAGTCCAAAGGCCTGCACATCTGCGCCTCAGCTTCTCCGTTCCAGGAGGGTTATACTCCGTACTGGTCTAATGAGACAAGATTGGAAGCGACCAGAAAGAGGTCCCCCACTCCCAGAGCCTGCCCTGAAGCTCCTAACCCCACACTGTGGAGCCAAAGAAGAGACATTTGCCCAAATAACCATGTCGCCCATCGGCCCCTGCTGTTGGGAAAACGCAGCTCTCTCTGAATACCTGGCACTGGGCAGGGACAAAGGGAGATTCTTGTCTGGACCATATCTTGATTTTTACAGGAGGGAAAACTGATCGTCTGGGGCCCTCAGGGCGGAGGCTTTTCCAGGCACGGTGCTGAGCTGGGGAAGCGGGAAACCTCTCCAGGCCCCTTGCCATATCAGGACTCTTTCCGGGAAAGGACACAGCAGCATGCTTCACAGAACTCCCAGGCCAAAGCTTGGTGGCTGGACCGATGGCAGAGGGAGGGTCGTGACAGCTTACTCCTCCCGAAGCTTTCCTGAGGCAAGACTGGTGGCGGGGGACGCTGTCTTCCGCCGGCTGGGGCTGCCCCCACCTAGAGCCAGCCCCAGCCCGAGGGCCACCAGGGCCAGGATGTGGATGCAGAAGTAGATGGAGGCCCAGTACCGGAGGGTTTCGCCCAGCGAAAGCAGCACAAAGCCCATGCACATGTAGTCATAGGCCCGCATCTTCAGGAACCAGTGCACCCAGTCCCAGGCCTTCTGGCCCCTGGGGCTGAGCCGCCCCCGAAAGGCCGACTCCAACCGGCCCTCAGCTGCCAGGCACAGCGGGATGGTCAGGAAGCTCAGGTAGTAGCCAGGGTGCAGGCCGTGCCAGTAGGCGCTCAGTAACATGGTCCAGGCGCTCCTGGGGGAGGGGCTAGGAATCAGGACCCGGAGTGCAGGCCCCCTGCCCCCTTCCCTGAGACCCAGGGGCCCAGGCCCCCAGCCCCTCCTCCCTCAGGCCCGGTACTCTCTACTCGCTTCTCAGAAGCCGCCTCTCAACACTATTTTCCCTCAGGACCCAGGAGTCACGTCCCCAGCCACTTCCTCTTTGAGGATCCAGGAACATAAATCATGATCCGTGAAGACTCAGAAATCTCCAGCCATGGTCCCTCCTCCTTAAGGACTGCAAATGCTATCCCCTGAAGACCCACAAATTTAGGCTCTGATCCCCACTTTCACAGAGAACCCACAAATCAGAGCAGGCTTTGCCAAGGACTGTGGCCCGAGTTCCTGCCCATGGGCATCACGTTTTCCCTCTGGCACATCAGGGTGTTAAAAGTGCAGAAATAACCTAATGACAGAATGACACCGACCACCCTTTCCTGGGGGGGCGGGGGGGGGCAGAGGGTGTAAAAAGGGTCCATAAAAAGGTTGGATTTTCCCTGTTGCCAACAGGGAAGATCTTTTCCTCCTTCTCTTTTCTTTTCTTTTCTTTTTTTTTTGCCGTACGCGGGCCTCTCACTGTTGTGGCCTCTCCCGCTGCGCAGCACAGGCTCCGGACGCACAGGCTCAGTGGCCGTGGCTCACGGGCCCAGCCGCTCCGCGGCATGTGGGATCTTCCCGGACCGGGGCACGAACCCGCGTCCCCCGCATCGGCAGGCAGACTCTCAACCACTGCGCCACTAGGGAAGCCCCCCTCCTTCTCTTTTCTTAGGCCATTTCCTTGAAAAACCTGTTTGAGCATCTTTCCGTTATCCTTTGGATACAGATGGAAATCTCTGAAATGGTACAATAGGCCTATAGAAAGTGTTACAGTCAGGAATGTTCTTCTCGAGGGCCTGGGAGCCACCTCTTTGAAGCCTAGGTTTGGAGGGAGGTAGAGCCTGTCTCCCTGCAGCTCTGAGGGTTTATCCTAGGTGCCAGCTCCGAGCTGTAAATACCCGCTGGTCATAGAGATAGGAGTTTTATTCTTCCTTCAGACAAAGACACTTAACTGGCACAGGTGGCTACCCCAATCACCAGGTGAACTTGGGATGAACGTGAGAGCACGCAAAGTGCTTGTGGAGTCCTCCGACGTGAGGACCAGTTATGGTGTCTCTTGAGAACACGCTACGTAAAGGGCTCTAAGTGGCGATGGAGAAGACAAAAAGGGTGAGATTTCCAGACAACTAATAAGGACCTACTGTATAGCATAGGGGATTCTACTCAGCACTCTGTAATGGCCTATTTGGGAAAAGAAGCTAAAAAAAGAGTGGATATATGTATATGTATAACAGATTCACTTTGTGGTACACCTGAAACTAACACAATATTGTAAATCAACTATACCCTAAAAAATAAATAAATAAATAAAATGGATGGATGGATGGATGAACTGTTAAAAAAAAAAAGGCTGAGCTTTCTTTCCATCTTGGTAATCTCAGCAGTGGGTTACTTGAGCCATGCCTCGAAATCTGGTTTAATGCTTATTCAATAACTGGTTTTTTTTTTTTTTTTTTTCCCCCTATTTTTTGGCCACTCTGCGAGGCATGCAGGATAATAGTTCCCAGAGCAGGGATCGAACCCCCGCCCCCGGCAGGGGAAACACGGAGTCTTAACCACTGGAGCGCTGGGGAAGTCCACAAAACTGTTTTCTTTCTTTTCTACCTCTGGTGGAGAGAGAATGCTCTGGGTCGGCAGAACTGAAAGCAGTTGCCGGTAGGACACACATCAGCGCAAGCCCGGCGTCTGTAACCTCCACGTGTGCACGCCTGAGCTCTTGGCCGTTCCGCCACCTGCTCTTCTCTCCCTGCTTCGCTGCCCCCCTGCCCCCCACAGTGAACACTCTCCAAAGAATCGTCTAGGCTCCCCGTTCCGTCCTCTCTTGAACCCTCTCCAATCCAGCTTTCACTTCAGCCCTCCACTCTGCTCCGGGCAAGGTCGCTGGAGACTTCCTCCCATCACGCCCCACCCAGTGGTCACACTCCCCCTGAGTGCACTGAAGCTCCTGGCACTGGCAGACGCACAATCCGCTCCTCGCTCCTCCTTGAAACACTTCCTTCTCTCGGCTTCCTTCCGGGAATGAATACTTTGCCGATTGTCTCCCTATGTCACTGGCTGCATCTGTGCTGGCTCTTCCTCCTGGACCCTAGTCTACACCAGGGCTTCTCAATCTTGGCACTACAGACGCTGGGGCAGGATCATTTTTCGGGGGGGTGAGGGGGGAGGTGGAGTGCTGTCCTGGGCAGCGCAGATTGTTTAGGAGCATCTCTGGCCTCCACCCACTAGATGCCAGTAGCACATCCCCATTATGACAAAAGCGTCTCCAGACGTTGCCAATGCCCCCTGGGGGTGCAGCACAATTGCTCCCCCCCCCCCACCATTGAGAATCCCTGGTCTAGACAATGGCGCACTCTGTGCTTTGACCTGATGCTCAGCCCCAGAGCTTTAAGTATCATCCACACCTGTTGACGCTCACGCGTCCACTTCTTACATCAGCCCTTGCATTAACGCACCAGAATCACACAACTAACTGCCTAGCCAACAACCTCGGCTGGAAATCTAACAGTCACCTCAAAGTCAGGGAGAGTAAACCCAAGTCTAGCTTCCTCATCCTACCCACTGCTGAAACTTCCTTCTGCCCAGTTTCCCCTCCTCAGGAAACAGCCCTTCTGTCCCCTACCATCACGCACAACCCATCACCTGGGCATCAAGCTGTTTCCCACCTCCACCTCTCAAACGCATCCACTTCTAGGCCACTGGTCCCTATTCTAGGATACCATCAATGCCCACCGGGCCAGTCCCTGCTTTATCGCCTGCTCCCCTCCCCCACCTTAGCCCATTCCCACACAAGGTCGGAGCAGATCTTTAAATCATAAATCAGATCACACACCCAGGGAGGTCTAGCTCCAGAGGCACCATGATTGACTTTTTCATTATAAGAACGTGTCATGATGTATCCTGACCTCATCTGGTGACACTCGGCAGGTTGCCTAAGATCAGACCTCTGATCCTGGGTCTCTGGGGATGATGAGAGCTCCTACTTCCTAAGGTTGTAAAGATAAGTTTATCTTGTCTTTACAGAAAGTCTCCACTCAAGAAATATCAGATGAGTGAAGGATAATACAAGCTAATCAGGCCTCACATTAAGTGCATTTCACACTTTATCTCACTTATTCCTCATATCAACCTATGAAACGGGTAACAGCATTACCCCCATTTAAGAGCTGAGGAAACTGGGTTCGGGGGGGATAAATTAGGAGTTTGGGATTAACATATATACACTACTATATAAAAAATAGATAACCAACCAGGACCTACTGTATAGCACAGGGTACTATACTAAATATTCTGTAATACCCTATAAGGGAAAAGAATCTGAAAAAGAATAGACAGGCAACCACTGGCGGTCCAGTGATTAGGACTCCGTGCTTTCACTGCCAGGGCAGGGTTCAAATCCTCATGGGCGAAAGAAGATCCCACAAGCTGCTCAGCGAGACCAAAAAAAAATAAAAGAATTAATATGTGTGTGTGTGTGTGTGTGTGTGTGTGTGTGTATATGTGTGTGTATGTGTGTATGTGTGTGTGTGTGTAACTGAATCACTTTGCTGTACACCTGAAACTAACACATCATTGTAAATCAACTATACTTCAATTTTAAAAAACTGGGGAAAAATGCATATATGGGGAGGGTGGGAGGGAGACGCAAGAGGGAAGAGATATGGGGATATATGTATATGTAGAGCTGATTCACTTTGTTATACAGCAGAAACTAACACACCATTGCAAAGCAATTATACTCCAATAAAGATGTTAAGAAAAAAAAAGACGTAACTTTAAGAGCTAGGGGATTGTTAATTGTGTTTGATTTTGCTTTTGGGAAAGAGATTGCCTTTTATTTATTGCCTCTTTTATTTCTACAGTCCATGTTTGGGTGGGGCCCCTGCTCCCACAGTTTGTTTAACTTTTTATGTTTACTAGCCAGAAGTTACATAAAGGTTTACAAAGCAGAGTGATTATTTCAGTGGCTTCCTCTTGCAGTATGCTGAAGCAATTTATCTTGCTGAGCTCCAAGTAAATGGCTGTATCTCTTGGGGTTTAGTCAAGGGTAATTAAAGTGAGCATTTGGAATTTAAAAAAAAAAAGCATATATGGGAATTTTTGAAATTAAAAAAGTTGAGGAAACAGGGGTCAGCTAACTCCTTAAGGTTTCTTAGTAACTGGCAGGGTTGAGATTCCGGAAAGTCTAGCTACTGAGTCCATAGGACTCAGTACACTGCGTTTGTGGAGCGGGGCTGACTTTAAGGCGTAGAAACGGAGGCCCAGAGAGGAGGAAGAATTGACCCCGGAATAACGCAAATCAGAGCCAGCGCAAGGCTCAAGAAACTACAACTCCCATGACCCTCAGGGGTGGAGGCCCAGCGGGGGAAGACGCAGGCGGCCCCAGGGGCAGCTGGGAGATGTACTTCTGTGCAGTCCTCCGAGACAGTTGGGCTCACCTGAAGACGTAGGAGCGCGCGGGCGCGCTCTTGTAGATGTACTGCGCCAGCCACCACTGCACCGTCATGTTCCAGTACCGCATGCCATCCCGCACGCGCACGCAGAAGTCTGTGCCATAGCAATCGATGTTGCGGATGGTCTCATAGTCGTACTCCGTGGAAGCCGCTTTCTCCGGACTGGGGGGGTGGGGGGGTGGAGGATGAGGGTGGGGGACAGACATGCAGCTCAGCCAGGCCCCCTCCTGACTCTGGCTACTGTCCCAGCCCCGGATGCTAAGGAGGGGATCCTGGCCAGGAAACAGTTCTCTGGCTATCACGTTTGCTAGGGCAACCCTGGGGAGGGTAGCCCAGACTGAGCATTTTTGGGAAGTGCACAGTTCATCAGCAATAGGGTTCTCCTCTTTGGTAAGGGGGCCTGCAACAGCCAGGAAAAGTCTGGAAGGGCCACGGTTGCTAAGCTATGAGTCCTTAGCAACCTGACCTGCCAATGGTCTCAGACGCTAGGGAAAGGCCATTCCTTAGCAACCAAGCTCAGCATATTCAGAGAAGCCTCCAAGTAGTCCATTCTAAATTGCTGGACACTTCGGTTTTTAGGGAAGCAGCATCCCTAACAATGAGGTGGTCCGTGGTTGCTAGGGAGATGTTTTAGGCCCGCCTGACACCTTGATGGTCTCTGTTGCTAGGGAAAGGGCATTCCTTAGCAACAAGGCCTAGGATGTTTAGAAAAGCTTCCTGAAAGGGCCTTTCCTAGCTATTGGTCCCCAGGATTGTTCTTTAAGGGTCATCTCCAGTAATACAGTGGTTCCTGGGTCACTGGTGCCAACCCCCTCCCCAGCAGTTGGGGATATCCTCGGCCCACCTGAACCGTTGGCGGCTTCCGATAATGGAAGGGGGCATCCATTAGGGGCGGGGCCCAGAAGGTTTAGAAAAGCCTTCAATTCCTACTTGACGTCTTCTGGGGGATACCTTCTACTATGGCAGTGGCAAGAAATTTGCAGGGGGTGCCACTTCCCCTGCAATGGAATGGCAGTTTGTGACTACTAGGGGATTGCCCAACCCTTGTAAGAAGGAGTAATTCAGAATTTACATCAAAGGGCTGCTTTCCCAGCCCCAGCCTGAAAGCTGACCATGACCACTAGGGACAGAGGGACAAGCCATTCCTGGTTGCTAGGGGTGCCATTTCCCTAGCAACACAGGAGCAACAAATCCTTAGCAACAAGAGAGTCTGTAGTTACTAGCTGTGTGACTTATCTAGTGATGAAGGAGCTAGGGGGCTAGTTTCGCCAGCAACAAGGTTAATTGATAGTTACCAGGGGATTTCCTGGGCAACAGTAGGAAGGCGACCTGCAGTTGCTAGGAGTGGTGTCCCCTCTGCTAGAGGACGGCATGGTCAAGGATGCCATTTCCGTAGAAAAAGAGGGCAACAGCAGGCTGTTATGTGACGACATCCCATGGGGAGGGGCGTGCTCCCTCCGAGCAACAAAGGGGCAGTTTAGGGGATGCCGTTTCCGTAGCAACAAAGAGCAGCTTTCTGGCAGGAAGGGGCAGTGCTGTTGCTAGGGAATGTTCTCCCTAGCAACAAAGGGCTACTCCTCACTGCCCAACGATGGCACCCTGAGCAACCAGGAACAACTGGGTTACTGGGGTGTCGCTTCCACGGCAACAGAGGGACAGCGTGTGACTGCTGTAACACCTTCCTTTTCCTAGCAACAGAGAGCAATTCACCATCCCAAGGGGGGACAAGCGCTAGCAACAGGGGGCAATCCGTACGTATCAGGACTACTGTTTCCTTAGGACAGGGGAAGGCGGGCTGTGGTGGCTGAGGGTGACACTCTGCTGACAACAGGTGGGAGACCTGCCCCCCCCTGCTCCCCGCTATCCTCCCTGCTAGGGGCAGGGCCAGCCCGCGGCGATTGGGCCTGCCGGGTCTTGGGACACCTCCCTCCCGCCGCCTGACCTGCTGGGGGGTGGGCATTGGAGGGTGGGGCCGCCCCCGGCCCGGGCTTTGGCGGCCACGGGGTAGGCCCCGAAGCCGGCAGCAATGCAGCCGCACTCGGCGGCAATCCAGGCCACGTAGAAGCGCATGCGGAAGGCGAAGAAGACGGGGATCATGTAGAAGAGGCGGGCGGGCAGCGGGCGCGCGTAGAAGGCGTCCTCACGCACGGCCTCCAGCGGGAACAGGTGGGAGGAGAGCAGGAAGAGCAGGCCGAAGAGCGGCGCCGGCCAGGCGCGCCGCAGCAGGGGCCGCAGGCTGGGCACGGCCCCGGGGCACGGCTGCTCCAGCCAGTCCAGGTACGTGCGGTAGCGGAAGAACGGGCCTGCGGCGGGAGGAAGGGCAGCTGGTCGGACAGGGCACACGTGGGGGCGGGGCTGGGGGAGGGGGGAGATGGGCCAGAGATTCGGGAGCGGAGGTGGACCAGGGAGAGGGGTAGGACAGAGGGAAGAGAGAGAGAGGCAGAGAGGGGAGTGGGGGTATGAAACCCAGAGAGAAAGGGACAAGGAAGCGGAGAAGGGGGAAGACAAGGGACTCGGCAGGAACTAAAGAGGGACAGACACTTAGGGAAAGGGACACAGAGCCTGAGAATGAGGGGTATGGAGACACCGAGACAGATGGAGACAGACAGACCAGACCTGGAGGGATGGGGCTGGGGGTGAGCTGGGTATAACGGAGTGACAGGAAGTGCAGCAGTGCACGTGCAGAGGAAGAGTGGTGTGAGAAGCAATGAGAGGGTGGCAGGGGCGGGACCCTTGCGGGATCTGATGAGGACTTTGAGTTTTGTTCTAAGCGCTAGGAAACCAGTGTAGGCTCTCCCACCAGGGAAGTGCTGGATTCTCATTATGCCTTTTCTTGAGACCCCTCTGGCCACTGAGCAGGGAGGGGCTGCAGATGGAAAAGAGGGGACTGTTCTTGGCCTAGGGAGCAGAGTGGGGTTAACAGAAGTGTTAAACGTCTTACAAGTCACAGAAGACCACACACTGTATGATTCCACTTATAAATGTTCAGGATAGGCAAATATATAGAGATAGAATAGGCAAATATATAGAGATAGAAAGTCAATTAGTGGTTTCCAGGGAATGGGGGCAGACGGAGGTTTGGGAGACGACGGCTAAAGGGTGCAGGGTTTCTTTTCGACGTGGCGAAATTACATGGCAGTGACGGTTGCACAACTCTGTGAACAGACTAAAACCCAGCGAGCTGGATGTGGTTACATGTGGATGAATGTGGTAATCATAGCTCAATACAGTTGCTATGAAAATGAACACCTAAGAGGTCAACATAAGTGAAAAATATTTTCTGAAACTAAAAATGGGATCATAAGCTGTGAATGCTCGTTGCCCGGGCAGCAGAAACGTTAAGGTGATGTAGATCTTTCTCCTTTATCTCCTGTTTGCTCCCAAAAAGTTACAAGGAATCACTGAGGCTGAGAACAGTCTCTCTCTACTCTGGAGGGGCCCTGGGACCAGCGGGGAGAGTCAGACATGGACTCGAGCATAGATGCTCACCCTCAGAGCAGCAGATGCTGGGATGGAACGTGGGAACGTGGAACAGGCATCAAACTCCAGGCAGAGGATGGAGACAGAGGGTGAGGAGCTGCGGAGGCAGGCCTGCGGGGCGGGCACGCTCACCTGTCATGATGCCCACGTAGCAGTAGCTGTAGCTGAGCGTCTCCATCAGAGACGGAACGTCGGGCAGCAGCCCCAGGCTGGGCCCCTTGCTGGAGCCTGAGGCCATCTCCTTCCTCTGGGCCACGTGCAGGTCCTGTACGTCACTGGCCAGACTCACCAGCTGGGAGGAAGGGGTGCAGGGAAGCACAGGTCAGACCCGGGCTTCCTCTCACCCACCTCCCTTTCACTACCTCTCTGGGCAGCCAACAGCTGCTGCAACCCCGTGCAGATGGGCGCTGAGGCTCTACTCCACGGGCAGCTCTGGGCATCTAGTCGTGAGTAAGGGCTTCTTGGTGACTCTCGCAGGGCTCACTGCTGGACCCCTCTGTCTTTTTTCTCTGAGTTCCATCTTTCTGGGTTCTCCTGCAGTTTGTGACTTTAGATACCACCCACAGTGTAACCCGGTGGGACTTCTCCTCCAAGCCCCAAGCCTGTTCATCAAGCTGCCTCTAGGGAACTCCCTGGCGGTCCAGTGGTTAGGACTCGCCCTTTCACTGCTGGGGCCCAGGTTTGATGATCCCTGGTCGGGGAACTAAGATCCCACAAGCCGTGTGGCGAGATCAAAAAAAAACAAAAAACAAACAAAAAAAATCTACCTCTTGTCATTAATACTTGATATCTTCCAGGCACCTCGAATTGAACACATCCAAGGTGGAACACGGTATTAGCCTCTCCCCAAAGTGGGTCTTCTTCTAGTCCCTGCTTGCCGTCAGCAAATACCACCACCATCCAATTAATTGCTTAGGCAGGAAACCTTCCTCACTCCCTGAATCGAATCCCTTAAGTCTCTGAGTCTGTCCCTCTCGCTTTGCCTCCACCACTGGGCTGAATATGTTCGGGCTCCTCCTTCAGATCTGCTCTCTACCGTTCTCCGCACAGACCCCAGGCCGGCTCAACATCCACAGGCCTGTGTCCCCCAGCTTCCCCCTGGGTTTAGTTGGCACAGAGCCCCAGGCAGAGATGGAGGAAGGCAGGAGTGAGGCTTGGGTTTTTATCCCCTTGTATTGATAAGATCACCTTGGGCTGGCCGTGACCCTTGATAGACTTCTTGAACTGGGGGGCTCTACCCAAGTCTTTTTCCTTCCCGGCTCCACTACCTGCCCCTCCTCTCGTGCCCTGAGGCCCAGGACCTCTCCCCATCCCACCCTCCATTTCTCCTAAATGCCAGGCTTCCTGGTGGGGCCCTGACTGACCTCCCCACAGGCCTGCATCAAGCCACCACTGTTTGTCAGCTGGACTTTGATAAAAGAGTCCCACGTCACCCCATCTTGCCCTTTCTGCTTCAACTCGCTCAGCATCGGGAGGAAGGATGTTTAAACCTGTAAATCTGGTCACAATACCTCTTCTGGCAACAAATCAAAAAACCTCTTGCAGTGGATCTTGGGCCCTCACAGGAAGAAGTCGGGACCCCTCACCTTAGCCAACAGGGCCCTGCATGGTTTGGCCTGGGCTGCCTGTGCTCTTTTCTGCTCCTGATGGACGGTCCATGTGGCTGGTCCACTGCTGATGGGACTCAGCCTGCCCCCTTCCACACACGCTGGTCCCTATGTCCTGAAAGGCTCTTTCTCCAGCTCCCCCTGGGAACACAGGATGCTGAGGAGACCTCATTCACCACCTCACGTGACCGTTCTGTTCACTGATACGTAGCACATAGTAGGAATGCACTTTACGTTCCCGCCGGGGGTGGGGCCTGGGAATCTGTTTTCACCCATCTTCCCAGGTCATGGAGAGCTGGACGTGGTGTCCTGGTTTTGTGTCCTTAACTAAGTGCTACCTCCCCAGAGCTGGTCGTCCTTTGCAGAATGGCTTGCTACAAAGATGCACCTTAGCTCAGCCACCACGTGGCACCCACAGTTACATAACTTTGGATACTTCTTTACCCCAGGGAAGGGCTGAGGTGAAGCCCCGCCCCCGGCGGGGTGTGTGGGGGAGACCATCCCCCTTCCTCTGCCTCCCACGGGAGTGGCTGGGAGGAGAAGGTAAAGCTGCGGAGGTTAACTGGCACACAGCAAGGGCTGGAGGGGAGTCTGACCTTCAGTGTCAGCAGCAGCTGGACGGCATTGGTGAAGGGTGTGGGAGTGGGCAGGCCCAGCAGGCTGAGCGCTCGGAAGAAGAGCAGATATGAGAAGGTCCAGGCTAGGGCCAGGGCGTGGCAGGAGCTGGGCAAAGGCAAGAGGCGTGCTGCGCTGGGTGCAGGGGTGCAGGACATCTTGCCTCAGCCGCCCCTAGATTCCAGCTACAAATCCTTCCCCACCTCCCCACCTTCAGAGACAGAAAATGAGGGGCGGGGGGTATGGAATGAGCACGACTGAAACAGCCACACAGAAATGCGCAGCAACAGAGAAAATGAGAAGGGGGTTAAGAGAGGCTTCAGGGTGAAGACCCTTCAATCCTCCATTTTTTCTGGGAGGGAGGGAGGGAGGGAGGAGGAAGGGAGAGAGAGAGAGAGGGGAGGTGGAGGGAGAAAGAGGGAGGGAGACACAGAAAGAGAGAGAGAGAGAGAGAATTTCAATACCAACGGTGGCAGGGCCAGCAGACCAGTAACGTCCTCCTCTCTCCTGAATCCACAACATGGATGTAAAGGACCAGGACAAACACACAGGGACAAAGACCCAGAAAAAGGCAGGAGAGGAAGAAAAACAGACCAGACAAATGACACAGAGAATCTAGAGATAAACAAGAGACATCCGGAGATGGAGACAGAAACAGAGAAAGACCCCAAGGGGAAACAGGTCTCTTCCTCCACCCCCTCCATCTCCTCCTCCTCCCCCCACCAAATCCTCACCAGGGCTGGGCCTGAATGAGCGCCCACGTCCCAAGGATGGTGACCAGAGAATGCAAAGTATGGGGACCACAGGTGAACAAAGTGAGCCCTAGGCCCACAGCTGCTGCCCCCCATCTCTTCAGCCCAGGTCCTGCAGGGAGAAGGCACAGCATAAGTGTGGAACCTTCCAGGGGTCCCCAGCCCGGGCACCCCCCCCCCC